GATGGGGACACAACCAGATGGGTTTCAAAGGAATATTTATAAGGCATGACAGCCGGATCTTGTTGCAACTTCAGACATAGAAATTGAGTATACAGTTTTTCTCAGTCGCTTTGGGACATTTCTCAGAGCAGAATTGAAATTGTTCTGGTCAATCGTCACATCATTGTGTCACTTCACATCAAAAATGCAGTTTCTCATTTTCTTGAGTAATTTGCAAATGCTCCATCCATGCAAATGATTGTGTACAATTCTCTGCGTTTTCCTACATCATCAATTGCTTATGTTGATCAAACTGTATTATAATGGGTCTCTGTAGAATAGTCTCACTGCCCAATGGTTGAACAAGTTGTTCTGAATCTATCCTAAATTGGCAAAGTGGTCCAAGGTGAATCTTGATCTTCTATAACAAAGGTGCATCTCATGAACCATCAACTGGCAAGTGTATAAATCTCTACAGGGGTCTCCTGAACAAGGGAGGGGTCAGATTGGAGATGAATTGACAAAGTACGTGATAGTTTGGGACAATGTCAGTTTCCATGGCTCCAACATCATTAGGCAATGGTTTGCGACCCACAACAGGAGGCTGATGGAGTTCCTCTCACTCTGCTCCCCGTTCCTAAACGCCATTGAGGAAGTTTTCTCAGCATGGAAATGGAAAGTGTAAGATCGCCCGCCACATACACAGATGACCCTTCTGGCTGCCACGAATGCAGCGTGTGTTGACATCACAGAAGAGGCTGGATAAGACACTAAAAGATTCTTTCCATGCAAGAGAAGATGTTTGTTGTGAGGTGGATGAGAATCTGTGGCCCCAACAGACAGGATTGTCAGGAGGTGTAGGGAAGACGGCACTGTAATTCATACAGCACTGCATGAGCAGTTTCCCCTACGGAGATTGTCCTATGTTCACATTTCTACTTCGTTTTTTCCTCTTTTACCTTTGTGCTATGCAGAGCTGTCTTTTCCTTTCTGTATTGCACTGACATGGTCTGGTCGACAAATTGCAGTAAAAGCGTAAATGTGAATCTCTCGCAATCAATCTCCCACATACACACACGTTTAGCTTACAATTTGCAATAATCGTCATCAAATCTTTAGCCATAGTTTAGATCAGAAAAGGACCTGCAGAGTACACTGTTATACTGACAACACGGCTAAGAAGTTTGACCGTCTCGTACGTACACAATGACACAACACCTTCTCATTCTGATGGCACTGACATGTTCATTGACACAGATATTTACTTTTGAGAGATGAACTACTGAGCAAGAGACTGGCTTTTGCCGGTAATCCATGTTGTTAGAGAAATGCACGTGCTCTTTTGCAAATGTCGAGGATGATTCGAGAAATGTACCAAAGCAACTGAGAAAAACTGTAATCAGCCAGTGAAACGTTTAGCGTTAAACATTGAAACAATTTTATTGCACCAACAAATAATTAGCACTTTAATTTCTAGCTACACCCCATAGGTCAACATGTTGGTTATGTTTATCTTAAATCCATCTCGGTTTGATTCATTATATGAGAAAATGGAAAATAGCCTGTCACCACTGCTGCCCACAAAGTACGTCAGACTGCAGCATGGTGGTGGCTGATGACATGCTGCCACCTAATAACCACCGGGATCTTCTTGTGAGGAGAACCAGCCACCGGGAGAAGAGAGACCAGTGCGTCACCTCTGCAGGATTAAGCGGGCAAGCCCATCTTTCCTGTACTGCTCTTCAGAAGGTGAAGCTTTGAATGGCCACTTTTGGCTGGCTTGACAAAGAGTGCGGGGCGGTATTTCTGTATAATGTACCCATTTGTATTATATTAAATCTTTGGGTTATGCATAAATAAGGGTTTGTCAGCTTTGAGTGACTGATGCAGATAAGTGTCACCCCAGCAAATTTGAGACACATGATTTAAACCTCTCCACAATGTTTGTGGTGTGGTGTCTTTTGGATTCATTTTTTATTCAAATGTCAACCAAACAATAACTCGCCTTGCTGTGTATTCTGCTGGTTGTGATTTACGACCCCACAAGTCATGTAATCACAGACACACACACACACACGCACACACACACTAGCCTGCTCTCCACAGCGGCAATATATCATTCAATAAGAGGTGGTTCAGATGTCTAATCAATCACATTACTTGCAACACCATTTTCAGGCTGTGACGTAATACAAAGAGTATCAAAGTCCCACGGATGTATGAACCGGATTCAGCTTTTGAGGGTGAGGTACCGTTCATTCCTGGGGAAGTGGCTCATGAATGGCCAAAAGGTTTGACTGCTTGGTTTTAAATGACTTCTTCTGAGCTCTATGGAGCAAACCGTAAGCACTGCATCACAGCGGCTCACCCACCATTACGCTTTAAGAAATAACTCTGGATTCGGTTATTAGGGAATTTTACAACATGTAAACCTAATGACTTAATGATTAAATTAAGGGAGTTTTAACTGTTTGTACTGGAAAGAATAATGGAAATATATCTACTGATTCGCAGACGTCTCTTTTCAATAGAAGTCTATAAGGGAGGACTCATGGTCGATGGACGGGTCAAACAAACACAGGACTTCTATCCAATGGAAACGTTTTTCAAAGTCACTGTTGACGCCTAACATAAATTATGCATCTAATACGAGGTCGTGGTGCAGGGGTTAGAGAAGGTGTGCTGGGAAGCACAAGGTTGGTGGTTTGAGTCCAGGCTGCCCCATGTTCCATCTCAATGTGTCCCTGAGCAAGACACCTAACCCCTAATTGCTCCCTGGGCAAAAATGTCAAAAAGCCATGGGTTTAAAGTGTAAAGTGTAAGTCACTTTGGATAAAAGCGTCTGCTAAAATGACCTGTAATGTAATATCTACTAGTTGGCGTCGTAGGGCGCTTGTCTTAAAAAGAGGAATACAAAGAAACCGTGTTTTTCCTCACGTAAGGCAGAGTGTCCGTGTTAAAAACATGCCGCCTAATGGCTGAAGAGCTTTTGGGGGAATATGGAATCTTTCATCTCCAAGAGACAGTGCGGTTGTATATCTCAGCCTGTCACAGATGATTTAACGGGGGAGACAGGTACCAGATGAAATGACAGTGTTATAAATCATGTGCTCTGGGGAAAGGTCAACGCCTGTATGTGTAATTCACATGTGCCCAATCGATGTCAAGATACATCAGTAGTAGATTCACTGTGTCCCGTAGTCACAAAATAACACCAATAATCTCCGGTGCAGATGTATGAACATCATTCATACATTTATTCAACAGCAAGCATTTTAGAATTTGCTTACTGCTTAACAAGCGTTTCCACTGTGTCTATCCTCCCATACTGGGTGTGTCTATGCTCTGACGTCTGTATGTGGGATACGGTGGAAAGCTACATTATGTATTTCGTGGTTAATTCCACCATTGTGTGGACTCTAATGTAAGATGTCGATTATTCTTTATGAAACTGGACGAAATGATGATGATGGTCTGATTTGCTTCTGTATGGACTATTGGGTTTGATTTAAAGTGATCTTTTTTTAATGAAAGAGGTGCCATCCCATTTCTGCAACAGTTCCTAGCCATGTGGAAGAGGCATTGAGCTGTTGAGCTATGGGGGATAGAGAGACTGCAACTGTCAAACTTAATTGGACCCAAAGTCCCTTTTACCCGGAGCAAAACTCATGACGTGTTCTTAGCTCTCAAATCCGTCCCAGGAAATTCCGTATTTTTCTTTCATGCTTCTACCCTTTTCTTTGAGAGAAAACACTTTCTAAAGCGATGGCAAACATTCATACCAAATGTGTGGAATTGACCAAACCACAGCCACACACAATGTTCACATGATTGTAAACCACCACCCTAGACTGACGGATACGAAATGTGAAACATTAATGCTCCAAAGTCCTTGAGGGAATAATGGGGAATCTTCAAGCAATTCCAAAGAGCATTGGACAAGTAGTTCACACACACAGCAGTGATAGGAGAACAGTTGTTGAGGGGAGACAAGCAATCTCACTCCTTGTTTTAATAAGCATCATGAGGACTCATTGTATGTGATCCCTCTGTTCATTACTATCAGCGATCTCCCCACATGAACTCAAGCCGTGTCTCTGTCGGGAGAGACAGGATTGTCTCCTCGGTTGGGATTGGTTGTCCCGGGAAAAGCATTTAAAACTTGTTGGCACTTTTCTGAAAAAGGCTTCACCTCTGCGGAGAAAAGGCCGGAGCAGTAAAATAGGCTTTGTGCGAACACATCGTGTTCAGATAATTACAACCCAGCAGCCCTCTGATCGTACCACAGGTACTACATTGGAAGACAGGATAAAGATTGTTTTGCAAATACAGCCAAAGATTAAAATCAGTATGAAATATAGCACTAATTCAGTATATCAGTATAGAAACACCTTTTCCATAACGACTATAACAACGAAAAATCCAGATAAGCCAGCAACATTATAATCCATAATCATTAAGAGGGAAAGGGTAGCAACACAAATTGTTGAGTTGCACTTTATCTAGCAGACAGGGTGATAAACTCCAATGCAACACATAAATAGAGGACAAACACACGTTGTGTGTCCTTGTTTTTCTTCTCACTAAATATCCATCTGCAGGGCACAAAGCAGCGGCCCGCTGAACCTCCTCTGCTTCTTTATGTGCATTTGCATTTCCCTCTGGCTCTCTAGCTCCCTTCTCGCTTTACTTCACCTGCTGCTGTTTTGCTTTTCTGCCATGACTGTTATTCTAGTCAAAACAGCAACAAACATGCATGCCACTTGTGAGAGTGTGTGCGTGTGTCTGTGTATGTGTGTGTATGTGTGTGTGCGCTGCACCACCTGCAGTGCTTCCCAACTGTCCACAGTTTAACAGCCGTTGATCGGCAGTTACAACAACTTACATTTGTTTTCTGAAACACACATTCAAACGATGAACTGTAAATACAGTAGAAGTACACACAAGCCTCTCCACAGAAGGTTAGTGTGTGTGTGTGTGTGTGTGTGTGTGTGTGTGTGTGTGTGTGTGTGGTTCCTCACCTTGTCCCGATGTGTGTGAGTCCCCCTCCTCCACCACAGTTGTCCCTGGTGCGCTGTCCTTCATGTAGATCCGCCTCCTTCATAGCAACACTCCACATCTCATTCCTCTGTGTGTGTGCGTGTGTGTGTGTGTGTGTGTGTGTGCGTGTGTGTGCGTGCGCGTGTGAGCAGGTGTACCGGAGCCAGGCGACCACCAGACTGGCGGGGTTGGAGGAGGCAGCGGAGGGGAGGACAGCTTCTTACCAGAGGGAGATCCTTCACCTGCAGAGGCTGCTGACAGAAAGACAGGAGGCTGAGGAGAGACTGCTGCAGTCCAAACGGTATGAGGGGAGGGAGGAGGTAGGAGAGAGAGAGAGTGTGTGGGGGGGAGAGGGAGAGAAAGAGAGAGAGAGGGGAAGGAGAGAGTGGAGGAGAAACAGTCGGAGGCATGCGGGCGGGCGGAAAGGGGGAGGAGGGTAGAGAGAGAATGTGTGAATGAAGGGAGGAGGAGGAAGAGAGAGAGGAGACAGTGTGTGTGTGTGTGTGTGTGTGCGTGCAGAGACATGGGGCGGCAGCCGTAAGGTGCACGAAGGCAGAGCCAGTCTCATAAACAGGACAATTACTGCAGGCAACAAGCAGATGGAGATGTCTAGACCAACAGATCGGTGTCAGACTTTTTATTAATCATCCGTCCTTTTCTGACATTGCTTCACTCCAAAAGGCCACTTATCATCCGGTTCAGCACATCGTTGATTTAACAATTACAGGGGCAGTACGGTACGCCACATTTTGAATGCATAGTTCTGCCAACAGAGAACGCCGACTCAAATGCCTTTTGCATTGATGTAGGATACTTTTATGTTTTCTCCGTTGACAAAAAAAAACATTGTGTTTAGAAGCACCAGAGTCCCTTGGAAAACCTCTCGGTTTATTGCAGCAGGGTGACAATCTGCTCCTCTCAGTCCCGGTTCTGGTTTTCCAGTGACTTCCCCCCCCACGGTGAGCCTAGCAGCACGGCCTGGGCCTCCTGCAGTGTGATGTCAGTCTTGACTCCCAGGGAGGCAAAGCACTGCTTCTAGCCGCAGCAATGAGATTCTGGTAAAACTGCGTATGTCATTTCCTCTGATTTTGTTATGGAATCAGATCCGAAGACCAGCGTTAAGAATAACTACACAGAAATAGCTTATGTTCTTACTTGCATCTTGTTTGCCTGCTTATTGAGGTCATAAGCATCAGTATCAAATTAAAGGTGCACCGTTTAATCAGCCAATTAAAATCTGCTGCTACCAACATACGTAACAAAAATATTACATTACAGGTCATTTAGCTTTTATCAAAAGAGACTTACATTGCATTTTTAACCCATGGCTTTTTACATTTTTGCCTGGGGAGCAATTAGGGGTTAGGGGTCTTGCTCAGGGACACTTCAACATGGACATGGAGCAGCCGGGGCTCGAACTGCCAACCTTGCGGTTCCCGGCGCCACTACGACCTCAAATATGAATAGAAATCATGCAATGAAGCATAAAAAAAAGCTTTGTGTATCATCCATTTTGTCGAACACAAAGTGAATAATAATATTTTCGCATTTTGCCGCATCCACTGCACATGGTGATAATACGTCAATCATTTGATTACATCTCGTTCCGCTGTAATAACCAAAATAACAGGCAAAGTCGAAGGGGTATATGAAGGAAACTACAAATGCCATCTGCTGAGTTGACATTGTTCAACAATATTTTTACTGCTACAGTGTGACGGCCATGACAAACTTCACTGGTCGTCTGTTGCTCCTGAAACAATCTCCCACTTCCCCTTCACTCCCTCGTTGGTGGGTCTGTTTTTAGCTCTGTCCCTGGGCCTGCTGCCCGCTGCTATCAAATGAAAGCTAGCTAATCAGATTGTGAGAAGATCCTGTCCTGCTCGGCCCTGAGGGCATCGTAATGACAAATCACACACACACACACACACACACGCGCGCGCTGACGCTACCAAGCACATCACTCACAGCACTTGCAATGGCTTCACGTCACCACAGACCTCGGTCCTGCTGGCCTTGAGTAACTGCGCAGACCACCTCTTCACCAAACACGCGCTCTACTCTGGATGCTGTGAGTCACTGGGACGCGTGTGAAGCCCCGACTGACCGCCTAATAACAGAGCAGGATCCTTTACCAGCCAACAGGCAGAACTATCCATGTACTTGGCGGTGAGTTCTTGTCCTACTCGTGCTTTTGTGAAAGCGGGTGTCCCCCGGTCTCAGCTAGGACGTCAGGGTCTCAGCCGCGTAGCGGTCCACTCAGTCGATGTCACACGTCTCACCTCCACACAAGCAAACGCTGCCTCTCTCCTCTGCGGAGCACCGTTTTGTATTCTTCCTGTGCTGTAGCAGCAGTTTCTGCTAGGATGGGATCATACCGCATCACTGCAGAGAGAGAGAGGCGAGATAATGTGGAGAGATAATGTTTTTTGTGTCATTCGTTTCCAGGGTGCAGGCCTGGAGTATTAAATGTAGGGTCAACTCGTTGTTACTTAGTTATTGTTGTTGAAGCTTAGTGATACACTCAGTCTTCATCCGTAGAAGCATGTTGGTGCTTGTGGCTGCTGCAGTCTTTATTATCCTGTTTTCACTGACTTTTTACGTTAATGGCACACAAGCTTTGAACCTCATGCATCATTAATGCAAAAGCCCGTGGATGCAGATAAACACATTTAAGTAGTGTTCATTATCCCTTGGTTTCTTATCAGTTCAGGAGGGATTTTGTGTCTCTTCGATGCAGCAGAGAGGACCAAAGGAACCGTTTCTCAATTTGACTGAAATAACCCACGTTGCTTATATTTTTACGATGTATATATAAATATGTATCGTGAAATTAATTCACAGTTTTTTCTTCCTTCAACAGAAGCGGTATTTGAATATAGCATAAGGAGATCCAACAGATGCAGAAAACATTGATCACCCAAAACATGCCAGACGGCAAATTGAAACTCTCCTGAGTTATGGATCTCAGAGTATTCAATTTAGAAAAGCCGGCGACATTGACTTTCACTCAGCCATTGGTAAAACTGGTTGTCGGGCTATTAGGTCATGAATGTATTCGCGAAGGAACGCACTACTTTTCAGTTAGGGAACAGAAGGACAAAGACTTTCTTGAATTGTTATTTAAGGACGGATTGTCTCATGCCAGTGCGACTCCCATCCAGACTTAGCAACCCTGCTGCTCTGATAACATTTAATAATGTTAGTGTCTGGCTGGGGCAAGGGTCTAGAGGGGGAAGATCTCTTGAAGAGCAATTGACCGAATCCTAAGATGGCTGCAGCTTACTGAAACAATAATCGTAATGGAGACTTATTGGGGTAGAAGAGCTGCTGCTGAGCCTGTGGGTGAGAATGCAGCTGTGGGACCAACTGGTCACAACCTTCCCACCAAAAACACACATACACACGCACCTATTTTATTTTCCACCTACTATAAGAGGAAAGTTTATTCTTTGTATTTTGTCTGAGCAGCTTGTGGTTGCCATGGGTAACACATATGTGCACTGCTGTTTGGGCTGGAGGTAATTAGCAGAAGATGGAGTCGGGGGGGGTCTTTACTCCAGAAAGTGTTTTTGGTACGTCACTCTGTGAAACAGCCTGGGGTGGCTGGTCAATAGACGGCCGTGGGGCTTGACCCCCCACTTTGAGCACCCGTTCTGGAGCCACAAAATCCCCCAATAATAATAATATATATATTTTTTTTTCCATATGTGTTTTTTTTAAGTAAGGAACATGCAGAGTAATGTTTGTAAAATATTATAGCCGCGGCAATATATGCTTTTCCTGCACATCCTCCTTGCCTGTCGGCATGTCTCAGCAGTGCTAGGGCCACGGAGAAATGGCCCACAAGGGGCGGGTCTATGAAGCCGTTTGGCAAATTGAATAGGAGAGAAGCTTCTAGAGGCTGCTAGACCAGGAAGGATCGGCTAGCTGGACCCGCTCATGCTCAATTTTGTGGGCATGACGAGAATGTGTCATCGGAACGCCGTGGGGGGGACGCCACGGGGATTGCTGGGTGTGGTTGCCTCCACAGACGGGGGTGCTGGAAGAGCAAAGGAACACAGCCAGTGTGATTGAAGGCCTCCAAGACGAGCTGCTGGACTGCATGCTGAAAGCTGTAACACAACAAAATGTGAAAAAAGTGAAGCGCTGTGAATACTTTCCGGATCCACTGTATATGTATATGATAGCGAATATTATTATGTAATATATATTGCACTGAATATTAATATGTGATATATAACGTATATTAGGGGGACAAAGAAAAGTTGGAATAAATGTCAAATATTTTTAATATTATAATAATAGTAATGTTTTTCCACCATTAATTGTTTTCTTTGTTTTTTTAATTGTGCGTTTAATCATTCTGGGGTGCTTGCTGAAATTGATTGGATTGTCCTAGAAAACTGTTCATCCGCCGCCACTGGAAACATCATCAGGTAATCTTCACTTTGATGAGCGTGAAAAGGGACCCGGGGGACCGACGACAGCGTTCCTCCAACAAGCAGCGCCCGCTCGAAAATGACGGCGCACAACCCCCGTCGACCGGACCACCCAAATACATCTCATGGTGTTTATCCAGAAAAATTTGATATAAATTTGGCACGTTTACAATCTTAGTGTCTCCACATTGGACATTTTCTAATTAGCACCAAACACAAGCTGCAGCTGAGGCTCGGTGACCAGGAGCCTTGAGAATTCAGGAACAGTCCTTACTTACAAGCAGCCGTCCCAAAGCCTGTTTGTACTGAACATTTTGGATCAGATGAGTTTGGATCAGATGTAGCCCGCCAAAACATGTCCTACTGATTGTTCTGAAATACTGTTTCGGTGTTGCTCACGGACCAACATTGGTCAATTTGATGGTGGCGGCAGGATGAAAAGTTCCCCAGAATGATTACAATGGAAGAAAAGGCTCCAGCCAATGCCCTGCAATGCTGCCGTTAGCGGTGTTCTTAGCGGGCCGTGTGAGGGAGATCCTGTGCTGTGAGCAGACCAGCCGCTCAACGAGATTACTCAGAGCAGCGTGAAATGAATCACATTTGGAGGTGCAGCATGTCATGCTGTCCAAACCAGCGGTCTGCACACAGTTTAATCCGCAGGTTTCTTTGAAGACGACGCTCTGAAGTCTTAATAGTTGTGTGCAATGTTTGAGTTGTACAGTTGTGCTGACGTTGCCTCCGCTGTGACACGCGCATGACCGAGTCCACGCGCGCCAACGTCATGTGACGGAAGAGCTTTAATCCGTCTGCCATTACGGCAGTAAGAGCTCACGCAGGTGATTACCGGGCTCTTATTGTTCTTCTCTGTTATCCCTCATAGAGTAACGGACAAAAGAGGTACAACAACTGTCATGAAACCAAAAGATGATTGAGTCAAGTGAAGTGTTTCTTTTTGGAAGGCCATTGTTAGCACTTAAACAAACTTTCTATTGGGTACAGTAACTTTATTTCAACTTTGGATCAAGTTGTGTAATCGTATTAAAAAAGGGTCCTCTTAACAAAGGCTCAAACACACGTTAATGGGAAGAGAACAGAGCTTTTTTTCCCCTCGCCACAGGCAGACCACATTTTGAGACATTATGCTCACTTTATAACCACGATGAGACAGACTTAAATGTCATCACGGCTCTCGCGGTGCTGATTATGCGGATATAACCTCATCCTGCGTAGTACAAGGAAGCTGATGGGGAAAAAAACATCAGTTGGCTTGAATGTGTGCCGCTTCCAAGTTACAGCCTTTAACAATTGCACCACTCAGACATTTATTCCCATATGATGTGAATGCAGTGAAACGCCCTCGCAGACCCCCAAAGATTGCTTCTGTATATAGAAACACTTCCCTGCATCGTGCCAGTTGATCTGAATCAGCTTAAAGGTCCTGACCAAGGTTTGAATGTAAAACCAGTGCTTGATGTTTTAATCTATGTATTCTAACTGTACTTAGTATATCTGTTTTTGTGTAGTGAGAAAGGCATGAGGGTCGATACAATCCTAATAGCTGTTTAGGTTTCAAAAGCTCAAGTGATCAGTGAAGATTATCAGCTAAATCAAGTGATTTAGTTGAGCCAAGTGTGGTTCATTCAGCACATTTCATTGTAATCTGGTCACAATTTGTTGATGTTATATCCCTGACAGCAACAAACGGATAGACTTAGATAAAAGAAGAGCATCTCCTTCCGACTCCTGAAGCTGGTGTTTGAACTGCTCGACAGCAAGCTGCTGTCACTGCAGCATCCTGCGTTTGCAGGTGGAGGGCCTTCAATACGCCTGAACACCACTGCGAAATATAACCAAAGCAACGAGAACCATGATAGTGCTCTATGATGCCCGTTGCCGATGTGAGCCTTGCTCTCTCTCACTTAGAAAACACAAAGCTTCAGGCACTACTTAGGAAATAATTGGGAGAGAGACAGCGTTCCCGGGAGCACAGAGTTTTTGGATGAGCAGCGAGGACCAGACAGTCCTGCAGGCGCAGTAATGGATCAGAGATGCAGTTCAGCTGTTGTTAAACCTCAGAGCACTCTTCATTTGGGTTCAGTTACACATTAGTATTATTTTCCTTTTCCTTTGTGACTTGAAATGTCACCCTATCAGCTCGCACTTCACTAACTGACCTCCTCGTTTCCCCCTCCTCTCTCCGCTCCTCCAGGGAGGTGGAGGAAGACTTGGAAGTGTTGTGGCAGGCAGCAACCAGGGAGAACCAACAGATGAGAGGCACTCTCACTGCGGACCTCCACGGCCGCGTCTCCCCGGACCGGCCTCCTCAGGCTGCAGAGGCTCCGACAATCAGCGCCGGGCCCCTCGTCTTCACCTCTCATCAGAGCCCTGGGCTCCTGAGGAGGTCCGGCTCTAAATGTGACTCAGACCACCAGGATAATTCCTTGGAAGAGAGACACAAGCATGGACTGGATTTCTATTGCTAGGTGTTTGCTCATGAAGGCAAGATGGGCCGTGTGGTTGACTAAATTAGTTTCCGTAGTGAGCATGTCAGCGTACCAGCATTTGCCAGAACTTTGTTTTGCCAATAAAACTGTAAAACTTGCAACATCCTCTGTACCAAACTAGTATAAACTAGGTTAACTTCTCTGGTAGAATCCAGCATTTATAGTAGAAGTGAAGCATATCAGTCTTTTTGACTTTTTGGACAACAGGATTGCAGTGAAACACATTGGGAAATAAGCATAATGAAGCAGCTCAGGTTTTAACAGGTTAGTTTCGAGAGCACGGCCAAATGTAGACTTCCAAGATTTATAAGCTTTATGCAGATATTTGCATCTGTTTGAATTTTTTAAATTGTTCTCAGGGTTTTATAGACCAACTATGCCAGCTAGTATAGTAGATTGACAAGTACAACCAACATTGGAGAAAGTTGCATTATTTATTTTAATTAAGGCTCGTGAATCTTAATGAATTTAGGCAATGCTGCCACCTGCTGGGCATATGCCATAATGGCATTACCGTGCTCACGGTGTCATGTTACACGGTACAGAACGGGCAGACATGAGAGCACTGTGCGGAAAGAAGAATGTTGAACATGATCTATATTGAGCCTTTTTTCCTGAAGAGGATACTGGTTTTTTGTATTTTAAGGCAAAACCTGAAATGGTGTTAATATAAAACACGTGTTTGTGCATAAAGAAACGCACATGTAATTACACATGCTTGGCTCTATTTTCACATAATTATAACTATTACTACCTTTTTAAAATGCTCAGAATATATTATGTGGCATGGCTGGCGTCTCTGAACTTGTAAGTGTCATTCTGACTTGTTATTAAATCTGGATCAGACACAGTGGAAGTGACTCAAAGTGATATTTCTTAGGGCAGTTTGTTTCAGAATAATTGTTTTTCCAATACAAAACAGTCGTAAAACTTCCATCGTTGAGAGGAATGCCCATCAAATACAAATGCTGTCATGATGTGACTGAGACACAATGACATCACCTCTTCGCCAGACTGACACCACAAGACAGAGTGCTGTCTGAATAGAGATGTACCACTAACCCCTGCTGACCGTCTTAGACCAGCATGACGACGGCGCCGCGGCTCAGACTCGTACGCTAGCTGCAGAGTGATGCGGGACCCCAGTCATCACCGGGTGTGACGGTAGAAGGCCGCCAGCAAATCCAACCGGCATTGTGCCTCTCAGTCAGCGGTAGTCAGCAACAGACATCATCAATGTGCTTCAATGAACATTATGATTCATAACAATTATATAAGAGTACCGTGACTGCTGACGCAGATGCATCAGAAGTAGGTACGGTATTAAGAGTATGTACTCTGCCCCTCTGACCTTCTCTGTCCATATTGCTGATAGAAACCAGCCCTGTATTAATCCAGTGCGTGCTCTGCACATGCATTGCTGCATTTGGACCGACCACCAAACAACAGAGATGCAGAGTAAACAGCCCTGTTCACGACTGCAGAGAAAGTCATTGGCGCCCGCCTGCCCTCTCTTCATGACTACACCCCCAGCCAGGAAGTGGGCAGGAAGCGCCACTCGCGACCCCTCAGGTCTCAACCTGTTTCTGCTTCTCCCCTGTGGGAGGCGCCACAGAACACTGCACGCCAAAACAGCCAGACTCCAGATCAATTCCTTCCTTGCAGGCCGTCACTCTGATGAACAGTCATAGAGTCATAAACTCAACGCCCCTTTTCCAAACATATACTGTAGATTTGATTTTTACAGTTTGGATTCAGAACACACAGCTGTGTGTGTGTTTTTGTATTGTGGATAATTGGTGCGTTTATTTACATTTATGAAAATGCTGGAGGTGATATATCACCTGACTTGAAAATGCCTCTGGATCCCCCCAGAAGAAGCCTCATAATGTTGCTTGGGAAAGGAGCGTCTGCACTACGTTGGTTGCCTTAGTGTGGCACTACGGCCAGAAAAGAAAGGAGGGTTTTACAATTTCCTGCATGTTTCTTCCCTCTGAAATGAATAGGTTTAAATTAAAGTTGAATTTGGTTGTTTTACTGAAACAATGACAACACCCAATCTGAGAATGACACAGTTGACTATTGAGTCTTTATTTGTCACATACACGTGATCCTGGTAATTATCCACAGCTATAAAACGTACTTATTCCTTAACATTACAGTGGGACACTAGATTGTCATTCCCACCTTATTTAACGCTTCTCTCCTCCTACAGCGAGTCACTGAGATATCAAACCAGTGGAGAGTGGGAACAAAAACCTGCCAGTCAGAGTAGAAATCAACGTACACTCTGCAATAATGTATCCGAGCAAGTAAAGATAACATACAACCTCTGTGGTGAATCCCTCCTGGTCCTTCATATTTACTCTCAGGTATACTGCCTGCTTTTCCGTTACTCTAAATTTGATCTTTTCTGATCTAGAGGTTGTGACCATCTGTACCATTATTTGTATTTCCCTGTTTAGCAGCTCTTCTAAGCTTTTGACCATGGTGAAGGCAGCCAGTCAGGTCACGATACAGAAGGTGTTCCAGTTAAAACTAACACAATTTAGTAAATACAACCTTCTTTTACAACATTAAAACACTTACCTTCATTCACATCGCTGTGGTGCAGTGCGACCCCAACCAACGAAGGGCCGCCAGTACCACCTGTGTACCAGCAGCGATACAGTACAGAGGATCAAGCCTTTGCCACAGCTGGATTTGGAATTGAGCTAGCGGTCAGCTGCACGAGTCACGTCTACGGAGGACCAATCAAAATCAGCATTTAACCCCCCCGCCACCCCGCCGCCCAGATTTGACAGTTTAACCAATCGAATCCCTGTTGGATTGAACCTTAAAAGTCGAGCCCTCCACCCAAAAGACAAGAAATTAAAGAGAATAAAAGAATATAATATGTATTGAGACACAACCTATGAGTAAGACGGCGTAACTATGAGTATTCATGAGATCAACTCACTTTTGTAAAAGTCTTATGGGACGAAGCACTTCAGGATATGTTGAGTTATAATAAAGTGGTTTTAATAAAAGACCAATGTTTCAATTGAGAGTTCCCGAGCATTCACAGACCACTACTGTCAATCCTTCTGCTCAGGAACCCCAAACAAAGGGATCCATCAGGTTTATTCATTTTCCCTTTTTACGGTCGTAGTCGTATTGGTTAAAAAAGGCATTTTCCACCCCACCGCCACTTGCCGTCATCGCTCCGTCCACCTGCTACAAAAACAGAGCTGCGTGACCTTGGGGCTTGTCTCCACATTCCGGCGGGCTACTCCTTGTGAGACGCAGGGTCTTTCGAATAGACACCCTTGAGGGCAATGCCAAACCTACAGTCTCACCTTGTGCCACCCGGTGTGAGTATATCAATGTACACTTAGACAGTTCTTAATGAGCCCACCAAATCAAAAGATAATTATCAGACTCTTCATCTCTCACTCGTTTTATTGCACTTGACTCTTGTTTTATAGTATGAATATTGTAATGTTCGTATTTCATTGAGCTGTAGGACCAGTGTCAGCGCACTATTGGTGCAAATTTGAACTAAGCATAAAGGCCAAATATTTGCAGTAAATTGTGTTGTAATTGGGATTTATAAGAAGGGGAATTTCCGCAATTTGGTACTTTCCTAGAGTTCGGGCTCTCGCTAGGGATGGATATGAAAAAGCCAAAACATATCTAGCAGGGATGGACATCTTAAATTATAGTGCTCAGTATGAATGTTGACGTCCTTGTTCTATTTGCTCGCGGGTACCTGGGCCACATTGCTCACAGATTCTTTATCTGAAGGATAACTGTAAAATAAAATACATTTTAAAACCCCCTTTAGGGCCACATACATCGCCTCCACGTGTAGCAAATTGACTTTGACGTTTGAGTGTCTCTTTAAACACACTTCTCATTTATTCATGACTGCAACCCACTGCACAAAGGCTGGCGGAGTGTTTCAGTCCTCCAGGAGGTGCTCGTACGCGGCATGTCAGACCTGGACTTTAAAGAGGCCTCAGGGGCAGAAGGGTGAACGCGTTAGGCCGTCTTTATTAGGATCTCTCACACTGGGTGATGAAATAAGCAGCTATGAAAAATCCTATATCATCTATAAAACGTATTATCAAAATCAGAAAGAAATGATCTATAAACAGAAAATCACTCTTCACAGAGGAATACCTATAAACGTGACCTAAAAACTCAAAATCACTCCCTTAGGAGGAAAACCAAAAACGCTACGAAAAAAACCTCAAGGCCATTCTTGAGTGAACGGAAGATTGAAACACTTCGGCACAAGACAAAGGGAGACGCAGACTATAAGACACATGAGGGCAAACAGGTGGACACAATCAGGAACTATCAGGTTCCACAGCCTTCATTCATCTATTATATGTTTAATTAACAAATAGTTATGAGACCTTCTCAAGGCAAACTATTTTGGTTGGAGTCTCCAGTTCTCCAGACAGGGACTCCAGACTTTATGACGCTTTATCTTCAGACCCATTCATGTCATACCTGCTCTGTCGGTTAAGGACTCTTCAGCTGAGGGCAGTTTTTAACTAGAAACTATTAGGTAATCCACACACAACCCAGCTGTTCGCATTTCAGCTTCATAGTTAAGAATAAAAGTTAGAAAGCAAAGCCCATTATGTCATTAAGTCTAATCTGCTTGACTTTAACTGAGCGTAGATGTTGGACCACTTGTTCCCTGTGAGGTGGGAGGAGGATATTCACCTCTGACCATGCAGACCTTTGATCCCCGTCACAGGGTCTTATGCAATGCAGAGTAAAATGCTGCTCCAGCGTGAGCTTCTGAGTCCGTACCAACAACGTGCGACGGGTCATCCTCGTCCTCCACACAGAGGTAGAGTCTCATTTTGCTTCTTTACGGTTTCGCTCAACCTAGATCAAAGTATTTTAGTTGATAAGTTTGTCGCAGTTTTTTAGTTTGGTTTAGTTTGGTTTCGGTTTTGGTTGAGTAACTTAAGATAGCACCTGATGTTTTTGAGCCTTTTTTAAGTTTGGCTTATTTGCAAGCACTAAAGGTTCAGAATCCTGCGTCACAAAAGCTTGATTGGTCCAGTCATGTCTGAGTCCGATGACTTTTAAAGTTTGAATCATCTTTCATGCTTTAGGTTGTAAAAGCTCCTCTTCATAAATACTTGCTTGTATAGACTGTTGGTTTAGTAGCACAGGACAAAATTCGGTGTTTTCTGATGAACAATTGGTGGTTTTAGGTCTACCAATAATAAATAACACACACTGATCACAAAATATTCTCCATTGGTGTGTGACTTTTTGTAATGGTCAGATGGACACATTCTGCAAATTCCTAAAACCTTGTTTAATTCACTGTAGAAACTTGACACAGCGTGACTGGAGAGGCACAAAGGGTTTATGTAATTCATGTGTGAGACTATTTGAAGTATCAACAGTTTTCTCTTAAACTACAATTAAATATATTATTTTCTTTAACAATAAAAAAACAATAATATTGCTACACATACATATTAGGATATGCCATTGAACCAAAATAACAACAGTGGTTATCCCACAGCTATATAGATAAAGTTTTGGGAGAAGTTGATAAGGTGACGTCATGATTACACCTTGCAAATCGCTCCTCACCCTGAGATACCATATTACACACAGTTATCTATATTTAAAAATGTATTGAATGGCATCCTACCTGTTTGTTTCTTCTGGCTTTAGGGTTTCAATCAATCCGCCTCGTTGGTGACGCGTCGTGTGTGCTTCATTTCGTTTGGATTAATTATTGAAAAACAACTGTTCTGACGTAACACCGGCGGCGTGACGTCATAGCATAACGCCAGGGCGCAGCACAAGGGCTGCACGTGGAGCTGCGTTGACTCCACCTGAAAGTGAGGTGGCGCGCTGTCGGTGTTGGCTGCGACGGGATTGTAAAAAGGTGTCACGGCGCGTTGATCGGCGGACAGGCAGGTGGGACGTTGTCCTCAACCCGATAGGACGCGCGCGCGTGGAGGTTTGCGCTTGAATGCTGTGATCGGGTCGGACCTCTGCGCGCTAAATGACGTCAGTTTGCGCCCCTGCCGAGCTGCTCGTTTAGCACAACGTGCAGGCAGCGGGTTTCCTCTGCATGACAAGAGCGATTTGTTGAGAACGATGAGCTTAGCTACTTTAAATGAACTAACTTCTGTACGGTAATTAAGGGACATTTTGTTATTCCGCCACAATACAGCTGACATTAATTTAGTTTTTAATTGCTGCTTCTGTTTCTGCTACAGCAACATTTCCTATAACGTTTGTAGTCTTTTTACTCCTTTGACAATTTTGTGTTTTTTTTTATTATACATTTAGCATATTAAGCTCCAATGTTTGGTGTCAACATGCCGACATAAATTGTACTCCTTCACCACCAAAACGTTCTATAACACAAAATGCACACCGGTTTCTACGAACATATTTTTGCCTTTTCATGTTTCATTAAATCGGCTTCCTTTGACTCCTTCCTTCAACTGTTCGCTTTTTGGATATTTTGGGATGCAAATGTTTTAATCCGCGCTCAGCCGACCGTGAAAGTGAAGTTTAAACACCGCATCCCTGCGGCGGGAATCGCGAGAAGTGAGTTTGCGGGTCACCAAATTGGAGTGCATTGGGAGATTTAGTTTGTGCGCTTCAAACTAAACTAGAAAGAAAACAAGGTATTCATTATTAATCCCAGTGGGGAAATGATCATCACAATTTGAACCCTTCCATTACAGTGGGAGTATACTAGAGCAGGTAGAAGTCTATTGTAGTATTGTCCATTGCACTATAAGAAAAGGTTGCACCCTCCCATGTTGATGCTGTTAAAAACATTTGCGTATCAGGCTTCCAGCAGTATTCTTTCCTCAAAGATCTTGTTGACGAGTAATATTGTGATGCTGCATGTTTGCTTCTCTTGCTACAGGAGAAAATGAGACAAGACGTGGTGTGGAACAACAGTCAAAGAGTCTCTTTTGTAAGTTAATAACAAACAGCGCCTACCAGAACCATCGTGGCCTTTCATGTGGCTTTTACGGCCTGGGATCTTTTCCTCTTCCATTGTGTCTCATGCTTCCTGTGTTTTTGATGCAATCGTTAGGCCCCCTTTTGCTAGAACATTAACAAAAGGCTCTCCTCCTGTCGCCTCCTCAATCTTACTCCGTCCCACTTTGTCTTTATGTCCGATACTTTCACTGTCTGGTTTTATCACTTTACAGTCAGAAGATGTTTTCCAAAGAAGTCCAGGAGCTGCGGCCACCAGTCCAGGAGCGGCGGCCACCAGTCCAGGAGCGGCGGCCACCAGTCCAGGAGCGGCGGCCACCAGTCCAGGAGCGGCGGCCACCAGTCCAGAACAAATCGAGTTGGACAACAGAGAAACATCCCGGTCGACCCGGTTAAATAAGTGCAGCCAGAGCCTTCGGACCCTCATACCCATCCGCTGCTCATCGTCTCAGTCAGTGTAGTTTGATGACATTGTTTGTCCTCTTTTTGATTCTTTTGTATGTCACTAAATGAATAACTCTTGGGTGACAGATTTTACAGACTAACAATCTGTATTGGGTGCTGTCTCCATGTCTAGGCCCCACCCCCTGGATAGAGCAGGTCTCCTGTCCTTTGCAACCTTTTCTTGGCTGACCCCCACGATGTGGGCCTTGTTCAAGAATAGGCTGGACCCAAGCTCTCTCAAACTGTCTACTTTTGATGCTTCTGACCCCAGCGGAGAAAGGTCTAACACACTCATGGCCACACCCAACATTTCTGTATTCATTTAATGCAATAAATACAGGACAGTAAATTCAGATTCGTAGCAAATATATGCCGAAATTCTTACCTTAAAATGTTGGGGAATGATTAATGAGTCAACCTGTGAGTGTGTAGTTCCTGGTTTACTGGCGTACTAATGTAATATGGCTGATGTGTTGTGCACAGACTCAACAGACTCTGGAGGGAAGAAGTGTCAAGGGTGGGCCTGGAGAGGGCCTCTGTGATGAGAGTTATGCTTCGATTTCAAAGAACCCGGCTGATTCTGTCCGTCTTTATTGGCATCCTTGCCATGGCAGCAATGTTTCTGGGCCCGGTAATAACATCTGAAGCTGTATATCATTACCAGTGCTTCCTCTATTGGAGGAGCCGTTTTCTACCATTGCATTCAGTCTAAATGTGTATGAAGTATTTTTTTTAACACTGAAATACTCCTATTCAAATACACGTGAAGGCTGCTTTGATGACCTCACTAAAGTTTTGACTAATCAAAGTTGTTTAATGTTGAAAGCTATTTTTGTGTGATACAAACTGCTATGTCCTCTCAGGCTGTTGTGGTTCATGAGATCCTCAAATATACGGAGGACCCAGAGAAGTCCACGGTATTATACGGCGTGGGTCTGTCCTTCGCCCTGTTCGCCTCAGAGTTCTCCAAAGCCTTCCTGATCTCCTTGTTGTGGGCGGTGAACCTGCGCACTGCAGCCCGACTGAAGGGAGCCTACTCTCTGTTGGCCTTTCAGAAAGTCATCTCTCTGCGGGGGAACAGCGGCATTTTAAAGGGAGAGGTAGGGCGCGATCTCATACACCGTAATCACATGACCCGTCGTTTGGGAGATGTGTGTCAAATATACCTCATTTGAGTTGGAATTGGCAAGAAATATAAACTTGGCCCAATAGCTCGACATAATCGGCATGTGTTTTAAAAGAAATTTGACTTTTGGCTGTACTGCGGCGACACAATTCGGAAATTGGATTCATTTGAATTTTGACAAATGCATGAGATTAACTTGGCACAATCTGACTATAACTTAACTAATTCAAACGTGAAACGAATACAACAGTTGGGAAATGGTAATGAGGAAACCAGCAGCTGATAACTTTGTCTTCCAACAAGATTAAACCAGCTGAACTAACTTGACTCAACTGTCCGTCCCCTGGAATGGCCCCACGTGACGTTTTGTTCTGGTTTGTTGCATGAGTTTGTCTTTCATCCCGATTTACAATGAAAGACCTTCTTGGCTGTAAACATCTTGTGTAATTGTGTTACTACCACCATTGGAGCAACGTGCACCAGTAACGCAGGCTTTTGCTAATGTCTCTCATTCAGGTGATTAGTCTTTTGTCCACTGACGGCCACAAATTATTTGAGGCCGTAGTGTTGGGGAGCTTCCTGCTGGCCACCCCCGTGCTCTTTGTTATGTGCGCCATCTATTCCTGCTACGTTCTTTACTACACCGCACTGGCTGGAGTCTTCATCTACGCGATCCTCATCCCGTTACAGGTTTGTATGTTAAACGGCACGGTTGTCAATTACAAGCATTGTCACTTGCAGTGGGAGATAACTGGTTTAACATGTACTTGAGCCACATGGCAAGGAGACACAATACTCTGCAATAACCCAAAGTTATACACACAACTATCTCTTGTCTAGGCCAAGGCAACTTTGGTTATTTCAAAATATGTCTGCAAGAAATCGATAAAATGTCTTTATTAAAAGCATTTGCAAAGAATTTCATTATCGATAATTGCGCGATTATTACGTCATGCGAGGAGAAAAAAACGCTTCGGCTCGGTGTCGAGTTGACGTAGAGTCTGTTCAACTAGTCGTCCAAGGTGTGCGAGCATGGGGGGAGGTGGGGACGCTACGGCCGACGGGTTGAAGAGGAACCGATTTATTTATTTTTTTAGCGTGAGAAATTGTATGTGTGGCGGGAGTGCGTTACTCAAGACCGAAATGAGTGACGGTCACGCTCAATGGGGGACACGTGAAAGCCCAGAAAGTGTGTCAATGGCAAAATATGTAAAGTCGACGTAACATGGCACGGGAACTCCACGTTGTCCCGTTTAGAAGTGAGGAACGTAAGGAGCCTCCAGTAGCGCTGCTTCGCTTTACTCGTCATCCAGTCGATCAAGCTAGCGTTAGCTCGCTAATAACAGCAGTTAGCAAGACTAAGACACGTTTTTATTTACTTGGCTCTTTTGGACCATTCATTTTTCAATCTGTTTTGTATTTTTCACTTTGTCCCGTATCAGTTGTTGATTATATATAATTTGTGTGTGTGTGTTGTACTTTTTAATGTTGTCATATACGGTAGTCTAGTGTGCTTGCGCACATACTGTGGGTTTTACGGTAGTTGATGTTATGCCTGTAAAGGGAGACACGGTCATCCATTAAACCAGTGCGGCTAACTAGGAAGCCTGTAATGCATTTATTTACAAATGGAATTTTAAATTTATCTCATAGCACTTGGTTGTTTTTTACCTGTACTTAGATGGGGTGTATACATTTACTTAACTTGCAATGATGGTAATCATTTAATGAATAAGCTTCAAGTGAACATGGGGGTGTGTGTGAGTGTGCGTCTGGGTAGTATAGAGAACAAGTTCTTGCGTTTAAACAAATCCTGTTTAGATTTGTATTTTTCTTTTTAGAAATCACAACCTGTATTTTTGCAATGTGAATTTGCAGTTCTGTTTTAGAATAAAGGGTTGGAATTTAAAGCTTTTTAATGCATTTTTTTTACTTGCTTGTTAGTTGCAGCCCTATTTCGAAATAATTCTGCTATAGACATGGACAGCGCTGAGGTATCTGTAGTTGTGGTTTTTCAGCTCGTTTGTCAGTTGACAAAGTTTATACTGTTTTCAGGGGTTCATTGGCCGGCTCACAAACAAAGTCAGGAAGAAAATGGCATCGATAAGAGACCACCGTGTTCAGACAATGTCTGAGATTCTTAGAAGCATCAAACTCATCAAGATGTACGCCTGGGAAGAGTCCTTTGAAGAGAAGGTTGCAGGTATGGAGTCGGAAAACTTTGTCCAACATGTTAAGTGTTGTTTTGAATATCACCATTACCTTTTTACAGCAATTTAACAGCGGAGCTTGTTGTCAAAACAGGAATGTAGTGTTGTGTGCCACACTTCCCCGAACACGTGATGCTGTCTTGCTTCTAGGCTTCCGGAAAAAGGAGGTGAAAAAACTGTGGACGATCCTTCACATCCAAAATGGCAATATCAGCCTCACAAACATCGTCCCCATCATCGCGACCGTTCTCACCTTCATCTTGCACACTTCGTTGCGCTTGAAGCTCAACCCAGCTGATGTGAGTAGTGCAGTGCAATGCGTGAGGTGTACTGAAAAACAACAACAGGGTTCTACAGCTTGACCATCATTCTTTTTTCATTAACAGGCCTTTACCACCATCGCCATCTTCAACTCCTTGAGGTTCTGCTTGGCTATTATACCTATTTCTGTGAAGAATCTGGCCGACGCTTATGTCGCAATAAAACGGCTGAGGGTAAACTCCACTGTTTTTGCCCGGCTGTTCTCACCCAACCTTTAGAACTTCAGCTGGTGCCTTCTAATGGTGATCCATTATGATCTGTAAATATGGCCTCCCCACCAAAGCTCTTAATCTGCAGCCTTAACAATGACAACCTGTGGTGCGAAATGATCTTTGATACTTGTTAGGTTCCCAATTGCTTGTCCGTTTTTGGAAATCACTACAACCTGATTGCTAGTTTTGTTTTGTTGTTTTAAACAATTCCCCCTTAAAGTCTTTTTTGTGAAACACAAGAGCTTATTGCTTATCAATTTATATATTTCAGAAGTTAATACGGATCCAGAATCCGGAGCCCTACCTGATCCATCGGACTGGCAGTGACTCAGCCATTGTGATGGAAAATGCTACATTTTCCTGGAAAGGAGCCGACCTGCCAGACTCCCCAACCATCACAGATAATGGGGAGACGTCCCAGAATGGGAGGACCGATACTCTGCCAACCTTAAGAAACATTACCTTCACACTGCCCAAGGTGTGTTTTACCTCTGGTGGGGATCAATGAAGCAATGTAGATCAGGTTAAACCCTAAAGTTCTTATCTCTTGAAGGGCAAGCTGCTTGGCATCTGTGGTAACGTGGGCAGTGGAAAGACGTCACTGATTTCCAGCATTTTGGAACAGGTTGGTCCTCATGTCTTTATTCTTTTACAATTGTTTTGACAATGTATGACATTTTTATCAGTTGTTATAATGGTTGCACAAAAAATTGCTCCTTATTAACCTATTGGTTAAACCAGGGTGCTATTGCACAAAAGTAGAAGAAAGAAATCCAGGATAACTGAAAGCGCAGCTTGACTTAGTGTTGCATGTTGAGCCGGGATGAGAAGGGGGAGCTAAGTCAATCCAGGTTTACATAGCTGGGATAAGTGTGCGTTCACGGCTTTCTTAAGTAGACCACGGGGTCGATCACAGATTTACTGATGCAGAAATGGAGAAGACGCGTGGAGCATATTTTTCATCCGCTGAGCAGTAACTCATTATGGGAACATGTTGGTGGAGCATATAATATGCAAAAAAAGCAAATACGCAGCTGTTAAACAGAAAAAGCCTGGCAGACAATCGTGGACCGACGGAATGAGTAAGGATTTAGAAATCTATGTACTAGGAGACTGTTTTACCATATTCCCAAATCTCTAAGCTGTGTCTAGTTCCAAATACCTTTCTACAATTAATGTTCATACAGAACAAACATGACAAAGATCCCGGAAACAAGTCAAGCTAAGATATAAACATTTTGCCGGTTGGTAAGTTTGCAAATTGTTTGTAGAAATTACTTGAAAGATGCCTGCTCACATATTTGATCAACTTTTTAGTAATCTAAAATTCATGTTACCTGCAATTTGTAACCCACAAAAAAAGCACAGTGCCATAGACAGTCGCTGTCACTGATCTGTGACTAAACACCCTCTCACGTCTGAAAGCATATGTCTATCAGTGCTTCATCCAAAACATTGTTCAGAAATGGGCATCATGATGCAGGAAGAAACACCAGTGAATGGGACTTTATATATCGCCCTCAACTGTTACATGTTTATTTCGGATCAGATCGGCAGCTGATTAATCTTAGCCTGGCTGTTAGCCTTCCCTGGAGCAGGCTAGCTGCAAAGAATAAATCGCCATGGTTACTTGGCTGGGTTTAAGTCAACCTGCTTTCCTGCAACCAAGTCGAAGCTAAATTCATGCAGGATAACTTGAATATCCCGGCTTAATCCCGTATCCTGGTTTTGTGCAATAGCCCCCAGATCTTACAGATGCCATGTATCATGCAGCTTTCCTCATGGTGGTTTTTCTCGTTTCTATGTTTTAGATGCACCTTCTGCAGGGCTCCGTCACAGCTGATGGGACTTTTGCCTACGTTTCCCAGCAGGCCTGGATATTTCACGGGACTGTTCAAGAAAACGTCATAATGGGGGAACCGCTTGATCAATCAAAGTATATAATCACTTAACCCACGTACCTTATAAGTAAACGGACCTTTTTGAATATTGAAACAAAAGGGCTCTTTAAACTGAACGAGTTTGATGTTAATGTTTTACCAGTGTTCCTCGTTGTTGCAGTTACACAGATTTCAACAATGCTTGAAGGGTCTTTCCTTGAGAGGTTATCTAATGTCGGCCATAAAAGAATGATGAGAGCTCCTCTTATCTCTGTCAGCACTTATCTTGCAAGGTAGTCACGCTGGAGGTCATCTGTTATCAGACCGATCATCTTCAGGAAACTGCTCACTCTGCTGACTTGTGCCAAGTATTTAGCTGCGTGCCGTCCTTCAGCTCGCATTTATGACCATAGTTGTGCTGTAGTCACTATCTTGAATGGAGCGCGTACTGCAGGGAAACGCAACACGCAGCAGACTTCACTGACGAAAAACAAACGCGTAAACATTTCCCTTTAGTTTAATTATTATGGCAAAACTAGCTGATTGCAAAACTATATGTACCTCTAAGTGGGATCAAGTTTGTGAATTTGCTTCAGTGCTGCTTATCTTTTATTGCAGACTTATACTCACTAAGAATATTTTGAAACCTTGCTTCCTCTATACAGATCAAATGTGCGGGCATATATTAATTAAGAAGGCATATTTAGGAATGTAAAGTAGATGTTTTCCAGAAGCTGTTTTTTTACATAAGATTTAAAATTGTAATATTTCCTCTTCAAAATGTCCCCTTTGAATACACTGACTGTCTCTTGCCATCTCTTAACTCTGTTTCTGACTCTGCAGATACAACAGAGTCTTGGATGCCTGCGCCCTCAGAGCTGATCTGGATATCCTCCCTCATGGTGATCAGACTGAGGTAGGGGCTTTCTGCTGTAGGCTACTCTACATTCCCCAGACTGAATTTCAGTTTCAATTCATGAAACTGAAAATAAAATTGTCCAGTGATACAAAAAACGTAATCTACTGTGCAACATTGTCGCGAACGTTGTGTTCACGTCTCTGTTCACGTCTCTAGCTGATGTTTTTGTAGCTGGAAGTAGTATTATTGTAACTTACTGAAAGGGAAAAGCAAATGCTTTGATGTCTCATGTTGTCGGTGGTCTCATCAGCGTTCTGCTGCTCTGTTGGCAGATCGGAGAACGGGGGCTGAATTTGTCAGGGGGGCAGAAGCAGAGAATCAGCCTGGCCAGAGCGGTCTATTCTAATGGGGACATCTTCATCCTTGATGATCCGCTCTCTGCTGTCGATGCTCACGTGGGGAAACACATCTTTGACAAATGCATTAAGCAGGAGCTTCAGGGAAAATCCATCATACTGGTAACACACCAGCTCCAGGTAGACTGTCATTCTCTAGTTACTAGTCTAGTAGATCGTGAATCCTAAATAGCTCAGTTTTAGAGTTGCATTTCTCAATGATATTTGCATACTTGTTTAAAACCAAACAAAATGACTTTCAGGTGTGGTAAAGCCCAAAGTAACATTGAATCAAATACCAGTGAGTTGATGCAGTTTTTGTTTTTTCAAGCGTGAATTGTAGACGTTATTGTAAACCGCAGAATAAGAACCTCAAATATGTAGACACGTATTGTTTAGACTGCGCTGAGTAGAACTATGGTCTGAGAACTATGCTGAGAGCATTTATTGACGTGGTTGTCCTCATTTGTGTGTCTCAGTACCTGGAGTTCTGTGACAACATTATGCTGGTGAACAATGGTGTGGTGCAGGAGGCTGGGAACCACCAGGACCTGATGAGAGCTGATAACCACTATGCTCAGCTCATCAGCAACTACCAGATGGGAGAGTCTGAGGTAAAAAGCAAAACGTTCAAACCTCTGTAGTGGGATGTCTTAGGTTCAAGTTTTACTAGCTGCAAAAAGCCTTCACCCTGTTTGTTTTTTACAGCTCTGATCAAAAATAAGCTGTAAACTAAATGTGTTAAACGTTTAGAAGAGGCAGAAACGTACTGTTAAAAATGAATTGTTGATCCTCTGCTTTAGGTTGAAAGTGAGTCGTCACCTTGTCAAGACTGCAGTAATTTCAGCTTTTGTTTAAATAAATAAATAAATACATAAATGTCTTCAGACTCCCATTGAGGCGGAAGTGTCTCCCCAGGACGCTGCCCGGGGGATGGACATAGAGCCAACGGACCAGACCAACAGTGGAATAGTGAACCACGGTATGGAACTCAGGAAAACGTGTTTGGTCCCATATGATCTAAAATAGATCTTATGGGATCATTCTAGACATCACTTCATGGTTTATTATTCATAAAAGTTAGAAAGAACATTGAACTTGTAAAAGTTTTCGAACACCATAAAAGACGTGGCAATAAATCCACAATCCCGACTGTCCCAGCATACTGTTATTTGGTTTGGCCGTGTCTGGTCTCCAGCATAGAAATGACAGGAATTTCTTCTATCATTTTTATTGATCTCCCATCCCTACATCGTTGTTCTTTCAGCATTTGATACTGTGGGCGAAAATGATGACACACTGACAACTGGACCAGGAGGTGGGTCTGCAAAACTTTTAAAATCATGACTCTTGTGTCGTATGTTCAGCCACTTTCAGAGATTACATCTGAACTATGTCCGATGTATTTCAATCTGGCAACGCAAGGGACAAAGGATGCGTCAATTTAGTGACCAGAAGTACTGGCTGCAATGTTTAACATCTTTTCTCTCAAGATCTGTCCTATATTTTCCTCCCCATTCGTGAGCTAACAAATGGGTGCAACATTATAAATGGATCCAGGATGGAATATGTCCACATTCTCCCTTAATTCAATAATTTTCTCTTAAGCTCCGGTCGGTGATCAGCTGGTCAGTCAGGAGGTTGTCACAGAAGGTGCAGTCTCCTGGAGAATCTACCGGCAATACTGCAAGGCAGCAGGAGGTGTGACCGTGTCCAACACAGACCTATGCATTGGTGTGATTTTATCCAATACCAATTCACACATGAACAACATGATGTCTTATGTGACTGTGCTGCTGCAGGCTACATAGCATCTCTCCTCACTCTCCTGAGCATCGTCCTGATGATTGGATCCACGGCCTTGACCAACTGGTGGCTGAGCTTTTGGCTGGAGAAGGGTGACGGGGTAAGAACTAAATCTGTTTGTCTGGTTGACATCCTGTGTCTTATCGCCTCCACCTCCCCAGTTTATTCAAACCTGTGTTCCCCTGTCTGTGGTGGTTAGTTGCTATCAGGGTTCGAATGGTCATTTCCAGGCCTGGAAAAGTCATGGAAATGTGTATCTATATGTTCACGTGGTACATTAAAGATATGTTTGAAATAATTCATATGGCTATAAAAGGGAGACGCTCAAACTATGAGCAGGACTCACTCGAAGCGCAAATAAATCTCACTGTGGTTGTGTGAATGCACCTTAACTGAAAAGTTCGGTAGCTCAGTCCTCCACTGTGCAGGGAAGTGTAGATTTACGTGGTTTGCTACAGATGTAAAAGTGCATGTCATGAGTTGGACAAAGACCCGGGATGAGCAGAATGTAGTAATGTGGACATTAGATATTTCAAACATGGAGCGCGGCCCTAACAAGCAGTGCTAAAGGAAGCGGACATCGGAGGGTGACCGCTAGAGAAGCTACACGCCGAGCAGCACGTCTCTTTGGTGCCGGCTCCGTACACGACACATTTTCCGATGCGCGCTGGCCGTCTGCTGTCGGCAGTTCAAAGTCGTAAACTGAGGGTGTAGCGGCGTTTCTAGTTTGTGACAACGTTTGTCATTGAGCTGCAGAGACGTGACTTCACTTTCTTACGCAAATGACCGTTTGCATCATTTGCATCGTTTGACTCTTTCAGTTGTGTCTTTTTATGCAGCAAAGCGTCAACTTGATATGCAATTAATAAATTCAGTGACACGGTAGAAAAACGATATGGCTCATGCAGCGGTGTTGCACCTGCTGCAACCATGACGTCAATACATCGAGACACCCAAGGAGCGTCAATTCAACAAAATGCTTTCAGTAGGTTCCATATCTTTGGTTCCTGCACAAGCATAAATTAAATTATTAATATTCCCCAAATTCCAATAAAGTAATACATACACTTCCGGCTATTGGAGACTGAACATATGAACTGTTAAAAGTTCGTATATTGTTAATAAAAAGAGAAAAGGTGTTGGTTTAGGCACTAGTATCAAGAAAATCCCAATCGATACTCATCCAGTCGATAATTGTAAACATTAAAATCAGACTTCTTGGGGCCTGATTGAATGGTAGAGGAAACAATGTATGCCTTGCAATTCTTGTTAGTTTAAATACATTTTCTCACAATCTTTGGTCATGGAAATCCATGTGTCAAAATATGTATGAACCCTGCAAATTATCTCTACTAACACATATTTTCTTTTAGTCATCCAATAAGACCTCCTCCTCATACCAAGGCGACGTCTCAGAAAACCCAGACCTGAAATTCTACCAAATTATTTATGGCGTGATGTTGGCCATCGTGGTGGGACTTGCCATCATCAAAGGCTTCTCCTACACTTGGGTGACCCTGAACGCGTCCTGTAAACTCCACGACACCATGTTCAAGAAGGTACTGCTGACTGGCTGACCCTACCTTTCAGAAAAGGGTCACTTAGGTGAGAAACAACATAGAGCAGGAAATAATAGGTCAAAATAAACACCAGGACCAGGTAATGCAGACAAAGGAGTGGCTGAGAGGAAAGTAACTATTATAAATCCATCTGCACAAGATTATCAACTCAAGAGTTAGGATGCTAATATCTTTCGTCGCTGTGGCCGGAGCCACGGGTTCATGCTCTGACAAGCACAAACCGTCAGATGAACTAATGGGACGCATTCAACCCCTGTGGACCTGTCCTGTCTCTGCTATGGGATGGAGAGGATGGATGACAAGTTAACAACGTGCATGCATTTTTGTCATGTTTTGTACAAGTGAAATGCCATCTCCCCTCATCCCCTTCAAATGGCCTAATGACTATAATAATGTATATATGGTCTATTGTTCTTTCTCAGATTTTTGCCAGTCCCATGAGTTTCTTTGACACGACACCAACAGGCCGCATTATCGATCGCTTCGCCAAAGATCAAGAGGAGGTGGACTCGTCGCTTGCCCTCTACATGGATCCTTTCTTACAGTATTCTCTCACGGTGCTGTTCAGTCTTATCACCATCTCTGGAGTCTTCCCCCCGATGCTGGTGGCCGTGGTTGTCATTGGAGCATTGTTCGGTCTCATTCTCTTGTGAGTCTACACCAATTTTAAACATGATACTATTGATTCTATGGATACTTTTGCTGCACCTGCTGATTGCACGCAAGTGTATTTTTTTGGGGGGGGCGTTACGATCACGTAGATTCAGTTTTCCGTTGTCGCAAGTCTTCAAAGCAGGTGCATTTTTCTTGCAGTTTTTTTTAAACTATATTAAACGTGTATGTTGTGATTCATCTACAGCTTCTCCCAGAGGAGCATCCGTAAGATGAAGAGGATGGAGAACATCAGTCGTTCTCCCTACATCTCTCTCTTCACCTCCACCCTGGAGGGCCTCAGCACCATCCACGCCTACAACATAAGAGACAGTCGCATAAAACGGTAAGTCAGCGACGTTCCTCATCATGACCCTTGAACTTTCAATCAATTGCGTGCCTCCTGTTTACAGTATTGTCAGGGGGACAATGTTAACACTACTTTAAAATGGCAGAAAATGTATCTTTAATGCACATTTTTAAAAATTGTATTACAATTTCATATTTATATTGCATTAAAATATTTTTATAATGCATTATAACTTTTGTTATAACCTGGTTAAGTTACTTTGAGGTCAGTTTGCTTTTAGTAAATTGTAAAAAAATCTATATCTAATCTATTAAACGACAGCAATGTTTCCCCAAGTGTACGGCCTGGAACAAATTTGTTTGTAATGGGGTCCCCACCAGACCAAATTGCACCACATTTGACCTTGAATTCCCGTTAGTACAGAGTACTACACCCGTCAAGTGTAAAGTACATCAGAAAAAAGGTTGTCATCACTCGCTTGTGGCAGTAGTTTTACATTTGAAATCAATGTCTCCAACCCAGTTTGAGTCTTAAATGCTGGTTTTGGATCATTGGGGTGAAGCGGTGCATTATGTTTGTTCACAAACCCGTTTATCACGTTGCAGGTTCATGGCACTGATTGACATAAACTCCAACTACCATGTAATGTTTCACTGTGCAACACGTTGGCTCTCCTTCTCCCTGGACTCCATATCTGCATGCATGACCTTGACGGTGGCTCTGTTTGTCGTGTTAAGCAGTAATGAGAGCATCAGTCCGTCTTTGAAAGGCTTGGCTTTGTCATACACCATGCAGGTAACTTTGGAAAATAAAATGAAGGCACCTGTGGTGTATCTTTTGTAAAGACATTGGAATTATCTGTAAAATACGTGCTAAATACATTGCCGTGTGGTCCAGCTGACAGGCCTGCTTCAGTATACAGTGAGGCAAGCAACGGAGGTGGAGGCCAGATTCAACTCGGTGGAGCGGCTGCAGGAATACATCACGGTCAGATACTCACCAATCATCCTTCCTTGTCTTCTTGAAAGTGTCCATCACACTAAAGCGAAACCTTCTCTTTGAAGTTGATGACACGCCTCCTTTCCCATCTCTCAATGTAGGTGTTGTTTATTGTGTACAGGGTTGTAAGTCTGAGGGCCCAAGGCGTATCCAAGAGGCCCAAGTCCCAGCAGATTGGCCGACGAGCGGAACCATCACCTTCAGGGGCTATGAGATGAGGTACCGAGAAAGTGCACCCATTGTCCTGAAAGGACTAGATTTCGTCATCCAGGCTGGGGAGAAGCTGGGCATTGTGGGAAGGACAGGCTCTGGTAAGACCCTGACTGATTCCTGGAGTTTAGACTCATAACTTTGTTTTCCATGCAGGTTGTGATTCGTGAAAATTAGAAAAAGGTCAAGATTACACAGATGTATTACAATTGTTGATTTAAATTTGAGGGAACGATCACTTGGTTACCTTGATTGTCAGCCTTGAATCTTGCATGAATCTTGCATGAATATAACCGTATCTCTAAAATGTGATTCGACAACCTCTTTGGATTTGAATGTGACTGAATTACTTGGATTACAGTGTTGACATCATACAGTCAAGACATGGCTTTAAGAGGCTGAGGGGGACACTGCCTCGATAAACCTTCAGGGTGACTACTGGTTTCTTCCTCTCTGTAGGGAAGTCCTCTCTAGGTGTGGCTCTTTTCCGGCTGGTGGAGCCGGCAGCAGGAACCATTCTGATTGATGGCATTGATATAACAACCATTGGTCTGGAGGATCTGCGCAGCAAGTTGTCGATCATCCCCCAGGATCCTGTGCTATTTATTGGCACAGTAAGGTATCCTAAGCTAACTCCAGCAATAGGTTTTCACTCGGCTACACACTGCTCTCACCGCGGGGGCTTCAATTCCTGCAGGTACAACTTGGACCCCTTCAACAACTTCAATGATGAGGCCATCTGGATAGCGCTGGACAAGACCTACATGAAGAACTCTGTATGTTCACTGAAAAATATGACGCAAAGTATATCAACAGTTTCCGTGTGTGGTCAGTTATTCAAAGTATCATCAACCAAGAGTTTCTTCCTGGTTTACAAGTTTTAGTTCTAGTCTTCTAGATATTTCTCCCAAGACCTTTTTCATCTGACCAGTAATCCCTAAGCACAATCGCAACTGATTGGGATGTGCATCTCATTTATCTGACCAGATGGTTGTCCTTTTTTTATTTAAAAATAAATGATGAAGCACAGCATTGGTGGGATAATTATTCCATTCTTAAGTAAAATGAGCAGAAGCTAGCAATGTCACGCTGTGAAAATACAGCATCACATCTCTTGAAAGCTAAGTATTAGGAGCTTTATGTTGGTGTGTAAGAGTAGTGAGAAATACACCCGATGAATTTAACACAATGCTACATTTGATTATTGTATAAATGGTAGTAGTTGGTGTTTCACTTTCTTTTACAATCATTTGGGCTATTAAAGTGTTTTCAGTATTGTTTGGTTTCCTCAGATCTCCACGCTGGAAGGGAATCTCCATGCAACAGTAACGGAGAATGGAGAGAACTTCTCTGTAGGAGAGAGACAACTCCTATGTATGGCTAGAGCACTACTTCGCAACTCCAAGGTTTGTACATGAATCTGCTCCTATTTTACTGCCACTGAACAGCCCCAGGATTACTACTGCCACGTGTCATGTTTTCACATACCAATCAGCTGCCAGTAGGCTTTAAAAGCTGCAGAATTTTCTGGTGGAGTTTGTGTTCCCCTCTAGCCTGTTGCCATCCAAATGCAGTTTGTTAAAGAGGTATGGTTTGTGTCCTGCCTATAACCCATTAGCCTTATCTGACTGACTTTCAGAGAGACCAACTCTATGACTTTATGCTATAATTGATAAAAGGTTATTGAGGGAAATGACAGATCATGAATAGAATGCTTAGTGGTGGTTTTGCCATTCAGAAGTTTTAACATATATATTTTAACCAGATGGTAAATAAGGGAATTTGAATTTGAGCTTTTTCCCCTCTGTTGGGACGATGTGGTAGACCAGAAATACTACCGGTTGAAGCGAGGATTCCTGTCTGAGGGAGCCACAAATAAGACACTTAAGATGTGCGCATTAGTCTTTGTCGCCAGAGGCTAGACCCCATGCTGTATAAGACTGACTGTGATGCCCAATTCATTGAAATCGTTGCATTTTCATCCTTGCTTGCGTTGGGGTCCTTCCCCTGCTTCCAACTTTGAAACTCAGGTGTAAAAAAATAACCAAAGTAACTGCTTGTGCTATTGATGTCATTCCCATCAGTTAGCCACCACAACCAACCCTGTTCTCCTGTCCAAAAGATCATTATTTTGGATGAGGCAACAGCATCCATCGATGCAGAGACTGACTCCTTGATCCAGAGCACCATCAGTGAAGCCTTCAAGGACTGCACCGTGCTCACAATCGCTCATCGTATCAACACAGTGATACATGCAGATCGTATTCTGGTCATGGAAAATGGCGAGGTAACAGGAACACAGAAAGATAAAGCTTGTGTTCTACTAAACCTAGATTAACTAAGTTATTCTTCTGACAGGTGGCAGAGTTTGACCAGCCAGATGTTCTGAGGCAAAGACCAGGCTCTATGTTTGCCTCGCTCCTCGCTGCGTCCCCCACTGAACACCTACACCAAAGAGACCCTGTGGCACCACTACAAATAACTAAATGATGTTCAACTATACGACCAAATCTTAATCAGTCCTGTCGGTGTTATCCGGTATGACCGAGAAGGCACGTTTTATGAGATGTATCCATCTTTAGTCTGCTGAAACAAATTTTTTTGAGCGATTTCAATGTATACTTAAAATATATTGCATAATACATTTATTTATTTATTTTCTGTCAAAGTGGGGAATTTTTCAATCTGCTGTACTAATAGACAAGGTATTTTTCATGGTGAGTTTTAACTAATGTATGAACAACAACATGGAAATGGATAATTAAAATGTTTTCTGTCCACCAGTGTTTTTGTGTCATTGCTTATACATGGCTGCTTGCTTAGCATTTTGTTTTTCGTTTTTTTTTTTCCTAGACAAACTGACCTGACATCCACTATCCTCTTGGGGTAAACCATTGGGATACATAGATTGAATATAGGTGGCTGTTGCTAATGCTCTAGTTTTTCAAAGTCAGTGAATTTGCTTAGAGATCGAGGCCCTATTCCTCGTACATGGTTCAACTAAGTTGATCAAATGTCCCATTAGCCAAGCTCAAATTCACAAGATGATTGTCAGGCTCTTGGTTCCTCAAAGGCCGATCTGCGCTCAAACTGTCGTCAATTCGCCACTCCACAGAGACTGCTCTCCTTGCTGTCTCAGAGCAACTCCACACTGCTAGAGACGCCTCTCTCTCCTCTGTCCTCATCCATCTGGACCTCTCTGCTGCATTTGACACGGTCAACCACCAGATCCTTATTTCCTCCCTTCAGGAACTTGGTGTCACAGGCTCTGCTCTCTCCCTTCTCTTGTCCTACCTCGACGGCCGCACCTACCGGGTAACCTGGCGAGGATCTGTGTCGGAACCTTGTCCTCTTACTACTGGAGTTCCTCAGGGTTCCGTGCTGGGTCCCCTCCTGTTCTCGCTTTACACCAACTCTCTTGGCGCTGTCATTCGCTCGCATGGCTTCTCTTACCACAGCTATGCCGATGACACCCAACTAATTCTCTCCTTCCCTCACTCGGACACCCAGGTGGCGGCTCGGATCTCTGCCTGTCTAACTGACCTCTCTCAGTGGATGTCCGCCGACCATCTGAAAATCAACCCCGACAAGACTGAACTACTTCTCTTTCCCGGAAAAGATTCGCTTACCCAGGACCTGACAGTCAACTTTGGAAACTGCGTGCTAACGCCAACTTTGACCGCTAAGAACCTTGGCGTCACACTGGACAGCCAACTCTCCCTGACTCCCAACATCACCGCGACAACGCGATCCTGTAGATACACGCTCTACAACATCAGGAGAATACGTCCCCTCCTCACTCAGAAGGCAGCGCAGGTACTGATTCAGGCTCTTGTCATCTCCCGCCTGGACTACTGCAACTCCCTCCTGGCTGGTCTCCCTGCCACTGCCATTCAACCTCTGCAGCTCATTCAGAATGCAGCAGCTAGACTGGTCTTCAACCTTCCGAAATTCTCTCACACTACTCCACTCCTCCGCTCTCTTCACTAGCTACCGGTGGCCGCCCGCATCCAGTTCAAAACATTAATGCTCACGTACCATGCTGTGAATGGATCGGGTCCAGCTTACATCCAGGACATGGTCAAACCCTACATCCCAACCCGCACTCTCCGCTCTGCATCTGCAAAACTACTTGTTCCTCCCTCACTGAGAGCAAAACACTCGACTAGATCACGACTCTTTGCTGTCCTTGCGCCGAAATGGTGGAACGCAGAGGTGTCAAGTAACGAAGTACAAATACTTCGTTACTGTACTTAAGTAGAAATTTCTATACTTTACTAGAGTATTTATTTTTCAGACGACTTTTTACTTCTTCTCCTTACATTTTCACGCAAATATCTGTACTTTCTACTCCTTACATTTTAAAAACAGCCTCGTTACTTCCGGCTTGTCGTAGTTCAAAAACACACAAACACAAAACCCCATCTTATCCGGACAGTGAATGTGATTGTGTTTGGATGAGAAGTATAAACATTTAGCATCCAGACACCCGGTTTTCTCCGCGATGCACCGGCAGATCGGAGCGACACCGGGTGGGAAAAGTGGTCTTTGGAAAGTTGGTATTTAGCGACATGGACCCTCCTCTTTCTCACGCAGATTTGTCCTAAATGTTTTTTCTAACTTTATTGAGAGTCTGGCACAACTCAGCGACTTGCAAGTAGTGCAGCGTTTTAAATAAAGTGATGTGTGACAAAGGGATTCTATATTTGCTCATGAAGCCTGAACATGCTGGTTATTTTGATAACCGACCGCTGCCAGTTCAGTGTTTCCCATCATTATAAACAGGGGTGAGCCCCCCACCACGTGAAAAGTCAGACCCCCCCTTCATGACGTAGTGAACCTGGGGGAGACACTGCAGTCTACCGAATCAATGCAAACAACTGTCAACTGTCGTCAAAGCTCTCAGAAGACACCAGGACCGCAGAGAGCCTTCACATCTTCCGCCGCAAACTAAAGACACACCTCTTCAGACTCTACCTCGACTAAAGACTAACAAATTGTAGCACTTAAATTGTACTTGTAACATGACTCATCTATAGCAAATTGTAAATTGGCTTATTTGAGGAAATTGCACTTTCTTGTTTCTTGTTCTCCTGAGTTTGTACCCTATGGTTGAATGCACTTATTGTACGTCGCTTTGGATAAAAGCGTCCGCTAAATGACATGTAATGTAATGTAATTTGAACCAGATGTCAGTCATCCGGATAATAAGATAAGAGTCCATCACCGAAACCAGAGATGAACGCATATAAGTAGATAATATGTGTATTTGCATAATTTCTGTTTGATGAATTGAACGTATTGTACATCTTTGTTGTTGTTCGCTTCTGTACATTCATCGCAGTCTGTCCGCCCCGGTGGGGGGGATCCTCCGGTCTAAAGGTTCCTGCCTTTTAATTCTCCCCATCGAATGCTTTTTCATTGTTTGGGGAGCTTTTCACCTGTGCTGATGTGAGGGTTTCTGGACTGAAGATGTCACATGGGTACAGACTGTAAAGCCCTCTGAGGCAAATTTGCGATTTTGTGCTGTAGAAAATGAAATGAATTTAATCAATTGTGGCAAAAACTGACACCGCCCCCCTGCGAGGGCTACAAGCCTGGCAGAGTATCGCAGACAAGTTGTTGAAGTGAAGTGTTGAGAAAAAGTATCGGCTCATTTTAAGTGCTCACTAATCAGTCACTAATCAGATAATGGTTGTTTAAATGTGCCTGCTGGCAAGAGGCTTCGAGGAATTCATCGTCCAATGAGATCTTGCTGGTGAAAATAATCTCAACTTTCAGATAAAGTAGATAAGAAGCCCACAGGGTTTAATTGATACGACCAAATAAGAGTTGTGTGTATGAATGTGTATGGGCCAATCAGTATATATCTATTATTCATGATCAGACATTTGTTCAATCGAAGCAGTGAAACATGGAACATCCAAGTTTATTAGGCGCAAAATAAACCAACTTTACCAAGAGCACGACCTGCAGCGGCTTTCCAGATGTTCTCTGCATCGCAAGACTGCACAAACTAGGGGTGAGACAGTCTGGGGGACAGTGTGTGAGTATGGGTGGGTAAGAACCGGTGCCATATCGGTACTTACCGTACCAAAGCGCAATGCAGATTTTGCCTGCCTGAGCCAATTGAAAAACGTTATCTACCCACTCTGATCAGAGGCGTTTCTAGACCCCCTGGTGGCCCTATAGGCAAGAAGGACCATAGGGTTCCCCCAGAATCATGATAAATGAAGTCCAGTACTTTCAAGAGTAGTTGCATGCACTCTCCCAAATCCTTCGCTTAGCCCTGAAACAGCGGCCCGATGCTGTGTCCAATGCAAAGATAGCCGTCAGAGACCTAGAGAGTCACGTCTATTTATTTATTTATTTGTTTATTTATTTATCATAGACTTTATTGCCCCGTGCATCGCCACTGCTGCTTTTCATCGCGGACACATTTGTCCCGTATTTTCCTCCACAACTTTGTGCACCTCTCGACCGGCAAACCGGCGTTTGCGGCGATCTCCCTCCATGAATCCAACCCGCTTCTACAACCCGCCAATGACGGCGTGTATAAGCGGTCATATTTACGCATTTCTTCCGACAAAAGTTCTTAAATCTGATCCGTTCTCTCGTAAACATTCTTCGTTTTAATAATGGCGGTATCGTGCTATGTAAGCGGAAATGTGAGACTCCGTAAAGGATGTAGTTAACGGACCAATCGCAGCCTGGTGCTCTGCGGGAGGCTTGCGTTGCTTGCGTCGCTTTTGACGCAAGCCTAGAAAAATGGCTCGACACACGCAAGGACGCAAGGAGGTGTGAAAAGCGACGCAAGGGACACGCAAGGGGGGCTTGCGTCTGCGTCGCTCTGAAAACGCAGAAGCATAAACCAGGCTTTAGTGGCGATGCCGCCAAAGATGGTCGCTCTGTTGATGAGTTTATCGAGGAGGTAGACGTGTAATGAAGGCCAGAGTCCTGAAGACGGGGTTGATTTCATTCTATCTCTTTTAAGAGGGTCTGCATTAGAGGAGGTCAGACTCTGCACGGATGGAGAATTGAAAGAGCCCAGTGAGTTGTTCACTTTGCTACGAGAGGCTTACGCAGAGAAATGCAGCGTAGCTCAACTATTACACACCTTTTTTGGTCGGCAACAAAGGGAGGGGGAGGATTTTCAAGAGTACTCGCATGCACTCTCCCAAATCCTTCGCTTAGCCCGGAAACAGCGGCCCGATGCTGTGTCTAATGCAAAGATAGCCGTCAGAGACCAATTCATTGAGGGCGTGCAAGATTCCTCTCTTAGAAGAGAGTTACGTAAAATGGTTAGGGAGAAGCCCCAGTCATCTCCGTTAGAGGTACGTGAAGAGGCCATTGCCTGGTCCCTTGAAGACAAGCCCTGCAACACCAAGGTTGCTAAGAGCGGGCCGGTAGTGTGTGACAGTATCAGGGAGGAGGGCCAGCGATCTAGTAATTTACCAGAGAAGAATGCCACTCTAGAAGACATCGTTAAGGTCGTCTCAGAACAGAGCAGAGCTATAGGCGAGCTGAATATTGCATTGAAAGAGGGCCTCGCTCTCAAGGAGAAGTACAAACAAGACCAGGGTGGGAAGCCCAGACTAAGGCCCCAGTTTACAGAAGATGGGAAGCCCATTTGCTTCAAATGTAATGGGGAAGGACACATTGCGAGAGAGTGTATACGCCATAAACCAGAAAGCCATTCCACCACTACCAATGCATCTACTCAGGAAAACTAGCCACCTCGGATGCCAAGAGCCGTGCAATCAGAGGTGAGACTACAGGCTCG